GATAAGTCCCCTGAAAGCTACAAACCATCTTGCCACCTTGAATCCCCAAACCCTTGAAGCCCCAAATCCTTGAAAGCCCCCCCCCCCAACAAAAAAAAAAAACCGAAATGCCCCATCATTGTGCCTCTCGGTGCCTGTGGACAGTTCCAGGGATCTCTCACCTGGCAGCTGCGGGCGTTGTACGGGTTGGAGTGCGGTCTGACACTAAGGGATAGGTTTAGGGTTTAGGGTTTGGGGGTTTGGAAGCTTCCAACTCATAACTCAGACTGTGTCATGATGGCTTTTACGACGTTTAACAGGGTTTGTAAGGGTTTATAGGGGGTGTGTCGGGCCTTTTATGTTTGGACAGTTTCTTATGGAAGACGGACGAACGGATGAGCTTTTTATTGGGACCTTGGAGCATGCCTTCGCGTGTCATCGGACGCAGGCGGAGAAACATCCTAATCACACAACATCCATGAATCCCGATCCTGCAGATCGAACAGATGCCTTTAACGGTCAAGTTAGCCCAACCTCAACAGATGACAAAGCGGACGTCGACTGCCGCGATAAGACGAGAGTCATGATGATGAAGATGATGACTCCGATGACGAAAACGATGACGACGATCAGGACGTCCAGGACCAGGACTAGGACGACAACGATGATGGTGATGATCGTGACGGTGATGACATCTGATGACCCTGCTGGAGATGGGTATCTTGACGAGCAGCAATGATGTTGCTTGCTGTGGTGGACGTCAGCATTGGTCGTGGTGGTGGTGGTGGTGGTGGTGGTGGTGGCGGTGGCGGCGGCGAGGACGACGGTGCTGGCGATGGTGGTGGTGGCAAGGACGGAAGGAAGGGAGGAGGGAAGGGAGGGAGGGAAGGAAGGAAGAGGAAAACGAGCTTGAGAAGGCGAAGGAGAAGGAGAGAGAGAGCTCTCACTGATTTTCAAGATGGATCCCCTCATCGGGGCCTGATTCTTTGCTGCACCTGGCAGGCCGTGGTGCCGAAGCGCCGATGAGATCATGCCCGCAATAGCAGGGGCACATCTTTCCGGGGGGCCCTTGAAGGCCTTCAGGGTGTGGCTTGGTGATTTACGTCTTGCGGTTTGGTTTAGAGGCTGCAGGGCTGCCGAGTTTTCCTTGGGGTGCTGGGGTCAGGAGCTGAACGGCTCTTATCCTGTTATGTGGAGGAGAGGTTCTTGTCGAAGCTCAGTGGGGTCGGGGTGGGGTGGTGATACCAACGCTCGCGTGGTTGGTACATGCTGCGGTCATACTGAGTCATACTGTCTCAAGCAAAAATGACGCTGATCTTGCCAGGGTTCAAGCCCGTACCAGCTTCTCATGATGACATTCCCGCATGCAGCAAGAATGCAGACTGCACGGACACCTTGGGCGTGGCTGCGATCGAATGAGATACATGCAAACTATCCTACATTCCCCTGCCGACAGCGACGACACGCTGGAAGGACACAGCGGCATGACAACCACTGGACCACAGCTGTCGCCTCGATCATAAGCTAGCTCGAAGCAAGTATACGAGGAACCTGCCCATGGAAACACAGGCACAAGGAAGAATCGACCCAGGAATCTTTCATCGTGGGATTTGTGTTGTTTTGCGAATCTGCAGAACGGCTCTCCGAGTCCTTCATTTCCGCGCGGGCCGCTTTAGCTCAGGGCGCTGATTCAGCAAAGCCTGGCAGATACCCGTTGCCCGGCCCTTTCCGGGTTTGGGGCTGCATTTATGTGCAATGGCCTTAGAGCTTAGGCTGTAAGTAGCGCTCGAACCATCGTTGCACACCTCCGGACTTCAGTGCAGATGCTTGAAGAACGGTCTGTGCGTTTCTCTTTTTTTTTTTTNNGGGGGGCGAACACGTGTGCATCGTCACGATTCGCAAAGCTAGGAAGCCACAGTCCGTTGCACCCAAAGAGGAACTCATTGGATGAATTGAACAAACTTTAGGACTTGTTCGAGCTTTGGGGTGCAATATCGAAGCCTTGACCCTTGAATTTAGGCAACTCGTGGTAGGCTGTGTAGGCATAGCACAGCCAATTTGCCCTTGGCTCGGCCGAAACGGAGACGGAAGCTAACCGCCAATCCTGGACCCGAAAGCGTCTCTAGAGAGCCTAGGGTGTCGTGTTGGGTTTGTGTTCAGGGTCTAGGGTTTAGGGCCTCTAGGGTTTTGGGTGTAGCAGCATGCCGGCTTCCGGAAGATGCCAGAATTTGAAAGAATCTGTCCACAGAATCCATCGACCGAAAAGAGTGCGACAAAGGCTAAACGGTTTGGACCGAAGGTGATGACAAGCAAGCTCCAACAGACTTAGCGTCTTCGACATTTCAAGACCAAAAACTGACTGAGTCTAGCCTTGGGGTTTAAGGCGCGCAGTTTTTTTGTGTGGCAAATAGGTTCCTAGGTCTCAGTAGCCGCTGCTATGGATAAATGAACGTGAACGAAACTGGTCCCCCTGGGCCGCGATCTCGGGGGTCGTTTCTCCCCCCCCCCTCTCTCTCTCTCT